TTTTTTTTTTTTCCCTATTTTTTTTCTGTCCTTATGAGGATTCTAGCAAGCATGTGAAGTCTCAGCTATGGTCCCTGCCACCCTGGGGCCCAGCATCCGCTGAGGATTGCGGACATTCTGAAAGCTCCGGGGTATTTTTAGATGAGGCTTTTCCTACGAATGAGGAAGTCTGGCAGATGGCTCTTCCGGCTGTATTTTTTTTTTTTTTTTCCCTAGCTTTCTACCAACGTAGTGTGGAGACCACTGGGCCAGGCTTCTCTCACTAAGGAGGGGGGAAAGCCATTCTAAAAACACTGGGCAGCAGCTGCAGGGCTGAGTCTCTAAGGACGCTGTGCCACTGGCTCGTGTATTTCACTCAACCCTCCTGTGCCTGTGTCTAATCAACCGTGGGAGGCAGGAAAGGAAGTGTGATCAACAACAAGTCGTTTATCACACCGCAGGAACAAAGACATCTGGGAAGGCCAGACTCTCACTGTGGCTGATAAGAATGTTATTCACCAACCCACGGGGAAAGACGAGAGTATGTGGTTTTTGTCCATTGAAGCCACTTCCTTAAATTACATGACATCAGATTTCATTTTATAGATGGTTTGCACTGGTTTTATGAAAGACAAATCAAATTATCGTTAATGAGGGAAAACTGCCTTTAAAAAAAATAAGTATAGTCTTGCTATACCTTGTTGAGTGCACTCATATTGTCATTTGGCCTTACATTTGACAGAATAATCCATTAGGGCTCAGAAAAGTCACCTTTGGGATATTAAGCCCCTTCCAAGGATTCTTTAGAAGTCTGTTGCACAGGTAGATTGAAGGCGCAAAAGCAACTTGATGGCAAGTCTCTGCTTGGATGGCAAGCTGCCCTTTCATTTTTAAATTTGATGTGGTTTTCTAATTCCCTGATTAAAGTGGCACTTCTCAAAGAGTGCACACTGTATAGGTTTCCAGGGTGCAAGCTTTTTGATGCAGTTCATATGAAAGAGTCATCACTCCTAAGACTTTGCTGTAAAGAAAAAGGGTCACCCAAGGGTGTATTAGAGAGCATGTTCCCTCCCCATTTACATGTGAGCATTCCAAGTGCTATTGGGTTTTAGTTACCTGGTGGGAACCTGAACTTCTTGTGCTTTTCCAGCAGAAAAGCATCAGTAATATACACAGAAGCCATGACAATTACACTTGTGGCTTAGGTACTAAGATTTACCAAGCCTACTTTTAGAATCTTACCACCTCCTCAACACACACACACACACACACACACAGCAGAGAATTTATCCTGTAATCACAGGGATAGACAGATTTTGTCTGCCATCGCTTAGTGAGAGTCTTTAAAGTGGTGACTTCTCCCTTATAGCGACTAAATTAGAAGAATTAACGCCAAAGTCTCAGAAGACTTGTTGGGTCTGAGAAGCAACTTTTTCCATCCACTAGGATGTTCTGCAATGGAACCAATCCTCATCGATCCTGCCTGCTCCCACTGTGGGGCCTGATGGAAATCCTGCCCGGTAATTTCCCTCGCCTTTCGGAGGCTCAACAACAGATCATTCATTTACGGATTGTCTGTGGCTACTTTCTTGGTTTAACAGCAGAGCTGAGTAACTGCAACAGAGTCCATGTGGCCCATGAGCCCACAGTATTTACCATCTGGACGTTTAAGAAAAAGTTTGTTAACCCCATTCCAGAGCAATGATTTTTAACCTTTTTCTTTTAACCATGACCCACAATAGAAAATATATTTAATACCATGATCCAACACACACTACACACACACCTGAAAGAAAAGTTTCATAAAACAATTTCACAAATCTTTACTATTTATTTTTGTATTTTCTGGTCTGTTCTATTTTGTTAAAATAAACTGCTGGTCAATAAATTACTGCAACCCACTAAAATGACTTAGCCGTTCATTCACTCCTAGTTATTTGAATAACATTGTTCAAAGATTATTGGGGAGAAAATGGAGTAACTAGGTTATAGGAACGTGCATATTTAACGCCACAGGATTCATCAGTATTACCCTGTGTGTGCGTGTGTGGGGGTGTACCAATCTACAGTCCCACAAACAAGGTAAGAAAGTTCCATTTGCCCATATTCTTAGCAATACCTGATGGTGACAGTCTGATCTGATGGCTGTGAAATGAAGTCTTATCTTATTAATAATCCGGTTACTAGTAAGTCTGATCATCTTTTCATGTGTTGACTGGCCTTTCATGTCTCCTCTTTTGTCAGTTGCCTGTTTATTGCCATTGCCCTTTTTTAAATGGGGTCATTTGTCTATTTCTTAGATTTATAGGCATTCTTTTTATATTCTGGATACCAATACATTATCAGTTATGTAGGTTGCAAATATGTGAGTTGCCAACTCCAAGGTCTCTTGTTTTCACTTTATGGTGCCTTTTGTTTTACCAACCAGAAGTTTTAAATTTTAAAGTTGTGAAATTTACCTATCTTTTCTGTTATTTGTGTGTGTGTGTGTGTGTGTGTGTGTATACATATAAAATCTAAGAGATTCTTCCCTACCCCAATGTCATAAAGATTTTACATTTTGTGGGGCTGTTTTTTTTCCCATTGAAAATTCATGTTTGAATACGGTATGAGACCCTGCTCTACTTTTTTTTTCCAGTTGTAAACAGCTGGTGTCAGTACCATGAACTGCCTTGTCTGTCCTCCCATCTCTGCAGTGCTGCCTTTGTCCGGTAGCAAGTTTCTCTGCACAAGGGTGTGTTTCTTGGATCTCTGTCTTGAAAACTTTGGTCCTAGATTTATCAGAACCAAATCTTTCCTGATCTCACTTATGTTGCAACTGGGCTTCGATGGCTTTCCAGGCAAGTTTTAGCAACCTTTCAGGGAACATGTAATCCTTATCTTAATAAAACTACATATAAAATCATTGGAAAAGAAAAAAAATTTACTCAATACTCAGTTCATTTTGTGATTCTAAATTAAACTTTATCCCAAAACTTGACAAGGACATGAGAAGAAAGAAAAAATATGGACTAGCCTCTATGTGTATGTATATACAAAAATCCTAAATTAAATGAGTAGCGAACAAACTTTCTCTAAGCTTTTCTGTTTTCTGTTTAAACTTTTCTGATTTCTGTGACTATGAGAACTAACACAGGGCTTGGCAATGTTGAACACAAGAAAAAATAAATTCTTGACTATAAGGTCATGTGCGTTAAATAAGGCAATTCTGATGCCCAATCAATACTGTATTGTGTATTTCCTATAGCGGATACTGAGATACAGATCTGCTGGAGTAGGAATAGGAATGTCATCAGGAAATGGTTGGTTACCACCAACAGGGAAAGAGGGAGATTGATTGTGC